GACCAAAACAGCTTGCTTGTCCTTGCTACCGAACTTGTTAGCTCTCCTGTTCTCTTTAATTTGGTTCCATTTAATTCACTTTGGAAGTGAATTCAACTAAACCGAATTAAAGTCACTTTAATTCAGAGTAAGAGCACCCGCACAAGGATTTAATGCTGTTTAACCAATCTGCTTTAAATTCACACCTTTGGTTAATTTGAATGAACTTTCCTGAGGCCACATCTACACTACAAACGTACGTTGACTCCAGTTCCGTCAGCAGACAGCCACTGCAGTCAGTACATTGTTTGTGAGTGTGCCTACTTGGCTCCTTGTTTCGCTGGAGTATGTACTTGCTCTGAGTGCTTGTATCCCACTGTGCAACTTGCCACCATCCAGCGCTCTGTCTTTTGGGAAGTTTTGGCAATGCCTGATGGGACTGAAATGAGTCGCACAGCGGTGACTGGGAGCATGGGGTCAAGTTCCCAGTTTGCAACTGTCTCCAACCCATAATGGTATCCGTATCCAGGCACCAGCAAAACAAGCACCTGCTTGGGGCGGCACATTCCCAGGGGCGGCACAGCAGCTGGTAGCAGTTGTGGAGGTGCAGCCGGGCCCGCATGGCCTCAGCCGCGCAGTGCAAGGCGCAGGGCATCTACAGCACGCGGGCGCCGCTCACCACCTCGGCCAGGTTGTCGTGGCGGACGTCGCCCATGCCGGCCGTGTCGATGAGCAGGCGCAGCGCCCCGAGGCTCACCCCCTTCACCCGCAGGATGTCCGGGGACGAGCACGTGGGAAATAGTCGCTCTTGGCCACCAGCACCGACTTGTGGGCTCGGATCCACCGGCCGGACACTTCAATTACCAGGTCCGGCTCCTCCAAGACCAGCTGCTGCGGGCTCCAGGGCTGCGCTCCAGCCTGGGGACAGTAAGTGCCAGGCAGCGGCCAGGCAACGTCGCCTCCTCCTGCCTCGGACTCGGATGTGCCTCGTTAATCTCCCACTGGCTCTTCACCACCCGGCTGCAGGAGGAGGCTGCTCCGGGCCCCCGCGCCCCGGGCAAACTGAAGCACAAGGAGGAGCTGAAACCGCAGGGAGCTTGCAAAGGGAGCGCGGCGCTTTCCTCACCCCCGCTCTCCTCTTCCCCAGCTGATGCGCTCCCTTCCATGGAGCCAGGCTGCTGCTGGCTGCCCTTGCTTCTCTCCGCTTCCCCCAGAGCTTTCCCCGGTGGGCCTAGCTGCTGCTCCGCTTCTCTGCAGAGCCTTTTTGGACAGGTCTTTGCCTCCCTGATATTCCCATCACCCGGACAAAGGACACAGGATAGGACTGGGCTCTCCAGGGCTCTGGGGGGGGCGCCCCGGGCAAAGGCCCCCCCCCCCCCCCCACACACACACTCCCAGCTCAGCAGCACAGTCAGCTACCCCGTCGCCTTCCTCTTCTCCCCCCCCCTCCCTTTTTCCTTTGCAGTTTAAGGTTGAACGTTACTGTGGGTTTTCCCTGCTCAACTCTCCTTCTTGGCACATGGTCAATCTCAGCCTTGTTTCCAAGCCTGGACTCCTCTCCCATGCTAACAGCAGAAAGAGGTGTGGCGGCAGCGGTCCCTGCAGTCACTCGCTGCTGAACTTTTCAACTTGACTAATTTCAACATCGGTTAGATCTCTGTAACCATCATATGCTTGCTGCAGCGTGATTGCTCAGACTTTCCATGAGTGGCATTGACAGATCAACGTACAGTAATAAAGAATCTCACTTCCTGTTCCTTGGGGGAGTTGGATTTTTTTTTTCCTGGCGCAATTTAATTTTTGATGAGCCTTTTTCCTTTTTTTCCCCTTCAGAGTAAGCGACACATGTTCTTTAACAAGTGAAAGATCACTGAGTTTTAACAGTTTTGATTTACCTAGATGTTCGTATCAGCCTGCATGCATCTCCCAGGATCCGTTTGACTAATTGCGCTGTTTTATTTCAGCTCAAAGAGGAGCTAAAGATTTTCCTTGGACTTTCTGCTCTGAAATTTGCAGCCACAGAGTCAACTAAACATGCTGATGTGTGATTATATGCTGCGATTATTGCCCCAATATGCAAACATGTGTACAAGCCAAAAAAAAGGAGGGGGGGGGGAATTTTTTTTGCTTGGGGCGGCAAAAAACCTAGAGCCAGCCCTGTCTGTATCCCATAATTTTTGCACCTTTCTGCAAAACCCCACAAACCCGCACGGCCCTCCTTGCTGTCTGCCATTTCTGACAGAAGTAAGGAGCCTGCACAGCTCTGCATTATTGCCATGAGCATTGCAAGCACAGGGCGCACGATCCTGGAGTGTGTATAGAGCTGCAAGAAGAACCAAACGAGTGGGGAACATGACGATTTCTTGGACGGCAGACGGCTGTGGCACATAACGAGAATCAATTCAAGGTTGTTGGGGGCATTGCTGGAGCAGCTGCAGGTGGTGGAGTGCTGCTTCTGGGTCTGGGAAACAGGCCCTGCCTGGTGGGATCTCATTGTAATGCAGGTTTGGGATGACAAGCAGTGATTGCTGAACTTTCAGATGCGCAAAGCTACATTCCTGGATCTCTGTGCTAAACTTGCCCCAGCCTGCCAGCACAGGGGCACCAAAATAAGAGCTGCATTGACAGCGGAGAAGCGAGTGGTGATTGCACTGTGGGAACTTGCAATACCAGATTGCTACTGGTCAGTCAGGAATCAATTTGGAGTTGGGAAATCCACCGTAGGGACCGTTGTCAGGCAAGTGTGCAGGGCCATTATATGCCTCCTGCCACGCGGGACTCTTGACTCTGGACAATGTGCAGGACATAGTGGATGGCCTTGCACCTAAGGATCCCGAACTGTGGTGGAGTGATAGAGGGCACGCATATGCCTATTATGGGACTTGACCACCTTGCCACTGAGTAGATGAACAGAAAGGGCTACTTTTCCGTGATTATGCAAGCGCTGGTAGATCACCAGGGATGTCCGTGTTGGACGATCAGGGAAGGTGTATGACGCTCGCATTTTGAAGAACACAGGCCTGTTCAGAAAGCTACAAGCAGGGGCTTTCTGTCCCATCCGGTGGATTACCACTGGGAATGTTGAAAAGTCAATGGTGATCCTGGGGGACCCAGCCTACCCTTTCCTGTTTTGGCTCATGGAGCTGTACCTTGACAGCACCAAGGAATGATTCAGCTACCGGCTCAACAGGTGCAGAATGACAGTCGAATGTGCTTTTGGTGGTTTGAAGGGTTGCTGGCATTGTTTAATCACAAGATTGGACCTCAGCGAGAAAAAGATCCCAATGGTTCTAGCTGCCTGCTGTGTCCTGCATAATATCTGTGAAGCAAAGCGGGAAAAGTTTCCATCAGGGTAGAGGGCAGAGGTGGAGCAGCTGTCTGTTGACTTTGAAGAGTTAGATACAAGGGCTATTAGAAGTGCTCAATGCGGAGCTATATGGCTCAGGGAGGCTTTGAAAGACCTCTTTAACAGTGAGCCAGAGCAGTGTGTGTTGTAGTCGTGTGTTCTGCCTGGCCCTGCCCTTTTTGTGGCCTGGTAGGAATCGTACAGTGATTGCTGTATATGTAGGAATATAACATTGTCAGCGCACCTGTTAATTTTGTTTGTGAATGATCCTGTGAGTTGTGTCATACTGTGCAGTAACAGGTAACTGGTTGCTTTCAGAACTGCGGAGCACTCAGCAGCGGACTAGTAAAGATGAATTATGTTCCAAATAATAGAATTTTATTCTGTAACAAAATCAGTGCCCAAAAAAGTGCAATTTTAAAACAAATACATTAAAAACTTAATAAAACTTAATAAAACAAGAGAACAGAACTTATGAAGGGGAAACCATGGCCTTCACAGCTCAGTGTATGTGAAGCTGTGATTGTCTTTAATGTCCCCCCCCCCCCCACGTCCTTCACAATGTGCTTGTTGCAAGAAAAAAGCCATGAACAACAGGCACCTCTCTACGTAGCATTCATTGACCTACAAAAGACCTTCGACACGGTTAGCAGGAATGGTCTATACAACATCCTGTCGAAAATTGGCTGTTCACAAAAACTGCTT